TAGAATTCTTTTTCCAATCCAGAGCTCTGATTTCATTGACCTGAAGGAGTTGTTACACTACTCAAAGATGTACAATTAACTGCATATCAAATAGATGAGGCCCACTTACCTCTTTAAAAAAAAATCACAGGATTACAGATTTAGACCTAGAAGGGACCTTAATTTGCTCATCTATAGAATGAAGGGAGCTGGACCAGAATTCTGAGTCATGAGAGGTAAAGTGATTTGACCAAATCTCCTTTTGTGAACTGTTGAATGACCTACAGGTAGATTGTTCTCCTATGGAAAATGAGAAAAACTAGACTGGCAAATATCTTACTTTGCTCATTATTGGACCTAAGCTAGTAGGGATTTAATCTGAGTCAGATATAGCTCGTTGTCACGTAAGTTAGTCACAAAACCAGAATTGTCCCCAGGTCCTCCAATTCCAAATCCAGTAGTCTTTCCAAGTCACCACATTACTACTTCACAGTGCTTTTGGTAAACCAAACCATCATATCATTGTCTATCTTTTCTATAAAACTCTAGACTTATATAAGACTACTGACTCATCTTCAACACATTCTCAGCTGCTGTTTTTCTGAGAATAGATTGACAATTTCCCTACTTTCAAGATTGGTGGTATACATTTGTGAAAGTAACAAACTGGAATTAGAAATACATTTAATGGCTGTAGAACATTTAGCACTTGTTGGAGTCCTAAAATATTTATAGGAGTTTGCCCAGTTTGAATAATGCTGAGAATGGGGCTGATTTCTGTGCCTTATTCAAGAAACCACAGATCCCCCTTGAAGTGGTCATGAGCGATATGTTCCAGGACCTCTAAAGGCGTATGAAAGAGACATTAATGAAGTGACACTAACACCCTCTTCCATAAAACATCCTTTTGTGCCCCCTTAATAAGAGTGGTTGAATTGTACTTTGGTCAGGACATATATTTGATCTGCTGCAATTTTGTGTGTATGTGTGTGTGTGTGTGTGTGTGTGTGTGTGTGTATAAACAGGCTTTTGTTTGGGACTTCAGTCAATCAAATAATGATCACACCTTTGTTATGTGCCTGGCATTGTGTTTGAGTACTGAAGCAGGACTGAAAGAAGAGTTAAAGGTGTAATGTCTACTACTTGAGAATATCAGACATCCATATGAGCAATGCTGAATTCTGAAGAAGTGGTTGAGACAGTAACTGCCACTGTATTTCAGAGAAGGAAGAGAATGCTTCCAGTCAAAGTGATCAGAGATCACTTCATGGAGCAGCTAGGATTTGCTCCAAGACTTGACCGATGGATAGAACTGTGCAGAGAGGATATTCCAGGTAAAGTCATAAGATCAAAGATGAAGAGAAGGGACATTGGAGGCCATTGAGCCCATACCCTTCCCCATTTTACAAATAAGGAAACTGAGGCATAAAAATTAAGTGGTTTGCCTAGAGCAGGGGTAGGGAATTTGCAGCCTTGAGGCCACATGTGGCTCTCTAGATCCTCAGGTACAGCCCTTTGACTGAATCCAAACTTCACAGAACAAATCCCCTCAATAAAAGGATTTGTTCTGTAAAACTTGAACCCAGTCAAAAGGCCATACCTAAAGACCTAGAAGGCACACGTGGCCTCAAAGCCACAGGTTCCCTGCCCCTGGTAGAGTCGTAGATGCTTTAGTAAGCATCTGAGGCAGGATTTGAACTCAGGTCTTCCTGACACTGAGCCTAGCACTCTACCCACTGCACCACCTAACTACTTTATGAATGTCTGAACACAGCTACAGAAGAGGGAAAACACAAGGCCTAGTTGAGAATAGTGTGTTGAATTTATGTAGAATAAAAACTACTTATTAAAGTTGGAGAGGTAAATTGGGGCCAGATTATGATGAGCCTTGATTGTCAGCTGAGTTTGCACTTTATTCTATAGGCAGTAGGGGGTTACTGAAAGATTGTGACTAGGTAGATCGGCATTATAGTGAGGGGGTGTGTGTGTGTGTGTGTGTGTGTGTGTGTGTGTGTGACACACATCTTACTATAGTGTAAATATACTATAGGATATATACTATATACTTAATGTGTATATAATGTATTGAGAGGTGTGTGTATGTATGTGTATACATCTCACTATAATGTCTATATATACATATATGTGTGTGTATAATGTTTAATAACCATTTCTGCAAGAAAGGAAGCTGTAAAATCCTAGACTTTAAACTGGCACAAACTGTTTTAGAAGGCTGCCCATCAAAAACTTCAAAAAAAGAAGGATATTAACACTTTGCCAATAAGTGACCTTTAAAGGAAGTGAAACATAAATACTTTTTACTTTTCTACAGTTGTCTCATGATAATCATACTTCACGTTCACATAATACTTTTAAGATTTATAAAGTGATTTTATTATAATAACACAATGAGGTAAGAATCATTAGGAGCATCTCCATTTTATAAATGAGGGACCTGAGATTCACATTGTTCAAGGAACCTGCATGCTGCATGCAACTAATAAGTCACAGAATGGGAATTGAACTTAGGCTCTCCATCACCAAAATCAGTGTTTTTTCCATCTTTGCTGTACTTTGTTAGTGTTATTCAGTGATGTCTGACTCTTCGTGACCCCTTTTGGGTTTTTTTTTTCTTGGCAGAGATACTGGAGTGGTTTGCCATTTCTTTCTCCAGCCCATTTTACAGATGAGGAAACTGAGGCAAACAGGGTTAAGTGACTTGCCCACGTCACACAACTAGTAAGTGTCTGAGGCCAGATTTAAACTCAGGTCTTCCTGACTCCAGGCCCAGCACTCTTATCTACTGTACCAACTAGCTGCCCTTACCCTACTACCTCCAGAGAAATAAACATTAAGCAAATGATTATGAAGACCTCACTTTTCTACACATCTTCTATTTTCCCACATTACTGTAAACATGAATTTGCTCCTCCCTTACCCTGATGGGACAATCTTTACAGCATCTGATTATGTACATTTGTCACCTTTGCTGGATATGGAAGCATGTGCGTGGTGTTGTCAGGCTTCCTTGTCCTTTCCCAGGTCATACTGTTCACTCTGGCTGGCTTTTACAGATCATGTGACAGGCAGTGTTTAGATCTGCTTTGTGTCCCTCAAGAGATGGCAGTTCCCTGCATCATGTAGCAGTCTCTTCTGAGCAGTCAGCATTTTCTTCTTTTTTAGCAACAATATTTGGTTTGGGTGTGGCTTTAGGTTACAAGAATGACATGAAAAGTTAGCAAACTGTCACTTTAAAAGTTTGTCCAGCTCTCTGATTTCATAAGTATAGGGCACTCCTTCTGTTTCCTTACTCTACTTCCACTTGCCTGTTACTTAGAATCTTAGAGAGGTTCCTTGGGAAGTCATGCACACAGTCAGTCACACAGCAAGTATATGGTATAGGCAGGCCACCCCACTATTGACTGTCTGTACTTCCTCTCAAGTTTGTCCTTTGCTTTGTTAAAAGGGTACTTTCTTTAATTTTGATAAATTTATTCGTATTTCTTGTTATATGCTACATATATGTGCTATGGGAAGATGGCTCTTTTCCAAAAGTGACCAAATAGTCCATGCTATTTTAATGTTCACTGATCTATCTGTATTTGGATGTATTAAGTAGTGCATATAGGTAGAAATGGTACTTTTATTAAGCAGGTCAGAATTGGTAGTTTGAACTTTTGATTGGTCCCCATATCCCATCAGTATGTTACAAATTTGTATCAGATCAGCACACAATAATCATTCAAAATGAAAACTTTGGAATTGTGCATTTTCAGTAATTCACAAACTAATTCTACCTCTTCAAGTAGGCCTAACCAGCTCACTGCATTTTAAGGGTCTTTACTAGAGAAACACCATCTTCCAATACATACTGGCAACTGTTCAGTATCTTATATTCCTAAAAAGTTACTTGGGGTACTGAGAAGGTAAGTGACTTACCTAAGGTCACACAGTCATTATGTGTCAGAGTGAACCTGGGTCATTCTGACTCCTGTTGGTAATAAAACTGTTTTTGTAGGCACAGTTATCTCTTTAAGAAACTGAGAAAAAGTTCTTGGGGGCCCCTGGAAAAAAAGCCTAAGTATTAAATTTATTGATTACTTAATGCTTGAGAAACATCCCAAATGGCAAGTAAGATTAAAGTAAAAGTAAAGGTGTGGTATTCTGTCCATTTTACTGAGTATGAAACTGAAATTTAGCATTTAGGTTTGCCATTTCCTTCTCCCGTTCCTTTTACTTATGAGGAAACTGAGGCAAATAGGGTTAAATGACTTGCCCAGAGTCACACAGTATCAGAGACCAGATTTGAACTCAAGAAGATGAGTCTTCCTGACTTCAGGTCCCACACTGTATCTACTGTGCCACCTAGCTGCCCCAAATATTACTTCATTTAAGCTTCATAACAACCCTGGGAAGTAGACGCTATTATGATCTCCATTTTGCATTTAAGGAAATTGAGGCAGACAGAGGCTAAGTGCCTTGCCCAGGTCCACACAACAAGTAAGGATCTGAGGCCAAATTTGAACTCTAGTCTTCCTGACTGCAGGTTCAATGCCCTATCTACTGTGCCTCTACAGCTGTCTAGTCAAAGAAGCCAGTATTTAAACACTTATCTTCTAACTGGGGATCTGCTGTTCCTGATATTGAAGGAAATTTAAGATTATGTATGATATTAGAATGTGAGCTCCTCTCATTAGGACATGAGCTTCTTGGGAATAGGTGTTATTTCATTGCATCTCCAGAGCCTATAATGTCACCTTTGGATCTCCAGAGCCTGTAATGTCACCTGGCATGTAGTAGGCTCTTAATAAATGTTGCTGGTTGACTGATTGTATCAAATACAATATTTGTATACTACAAATAAATGATTAAGAAGAATTGAATCTTGTACCTTTGCTATCTTAGTATAGTACTCTGAAAGCTGGGTGGTTTTATTCTAGTCCTAAATGGATGGTTTCTAAAAGCTCTGTTCTTGATTTCTGTCATCTCATTGTTTGGAATCTGCTGTTTGTTTCCAATAGGCGCACCTATGTTGGCAGCATGCCTGGTCGTATAATCAATGGCTTGAAGACTGTTGGAGTCAACAATCCAGTGTTCCTGTTAGATGAGGTTGATAAACTGGGCAAAAGTCTGCAGGGAGACCCTGCCGCCGCCCTGCTTGAGGTAAGACTTAGAAGGACTCAATCTACAGATCTCAGCTAAGGAATATAGAGGGTAAGGGATCGAACTCATAGAGTACAAATTTTGTAATAAAGACACTATATATGCTTTGGTACAGGTGCAAGGGACAATTTTGCATAAATGAAAAAGATGCTTCTGTACTTTTATAGGTCCTGTATTCCTAGTACATTTGACCTTGATGTCATTTAGAATTTACACAGCTTGATTCACAGTGAAGCTTGAAACCACTAGGCATCCAAATGAATGTGACCTTTATTTTCACTCAGTTCTTTTGCTGAGTTCTAAACAGCTTATTATCTGCTCCATTTGCATTGTGGGAAAATCTTTTTCTTGTCTGCCCTGAGTCATTCCTTAAATAGCAATCTAAAGGTGGTTTGTTCCAAGAACTGTCATTAATCTGGTGATCTCAAAGAATCTGAGGTGATGTGGCAGTCACAGAGGACCTGACTCAAAAAATGAGTTGGGGTAGCATTGGACTGAGATGCACAACTGCTAAATGCTGACTTGCTCTTTAGTAGTTCTTTGTAGACACCATTATTTTTCCCCTAGTTAACCTGGAAGAACCCTGTCTTTTTACTCTCACCCATAGCCTAGAACAGTATCATACCTGTGGTAAATGCTCATTAGATAAATGATTAATCAGTAAGGCATACCCTTTCTTTACTGAACACTCTAGTCTTCAAACAATAACATTAATGACTTAGGAAGATTTTAAAAGATGCTGACCATTTACATTATAGGTAGAATATGGCAGGTACTCAAATTCAGTTTGTAAAATGATAGTGTTTGTGTTGGTCAAGAGTTTGTTTCTGCCTCTGCCATTTGTCTCCTCTATTGTATTGTAATCATGTGGTCGGCCTAGATGAGGAAGGACTTTTTAATCTGTCCTATAAAACCCCAGTTTCGACTTTTTTTTTTCCTGAACCACTATGAGGCAGCAGTTAGGTTATCTAGGTCCCTGCCTCAAGGACTAATTTCCTGTGTTTCTGTGAAGAGTGACATTGTGGCTCAGGGGAGGTAGACAGAGTATAGTGTTAGAATGCTGAACTGGGAGTCAAACGTGGCTTCAGCTTCCTCTTCTGTCCCCTACGTAGCTGTGTGACCTTAAGTAAGTCCTTAACCTCTTTCATCCCCAGTTTCTTCATGTGTAAAGTGAGGGAGTTAGAATAGGTGACTTCTGAGATCACTTCTAGTAGTGGATCTGTGATCTCATTCTTTATAAAACTATTTAAAAATCACGTAGTAGTTTGTTAAACACTCTGAAAACTCTTACTGGCAGTTTAACTCATATTGGGAGATTTTGTAGATCTGGAAGGTGTTTCTGTTATAGTATCATATCCTGTAATGCTGTATAGCATTTGAGGGGGATATTCCAATCCTGACAAATTTAAAAAGCAGTGCTTTGGGCAGCCCTCAAACCAGCCCACTGGGCATTCCCAAACAGTAAGTGACAGCTGAGCCCCCGGTGCATGCAGATTGGCCAGTTTATCCAGATTTATATCCCTCCCCCTCATATAGGTACAGAAACAACTGCCCTTTCATGCCAGGTCATCTTGTCTGACAGAGGATATAGAATCAGAGATAAAAGAAGTCAACCTCAAAGTGTTAAGTTAAAACTTAATTTCATATGGGACTACACTTTCATCACATTTGAAACTTTGTTACATGCAGACATCTTAGTGGTGAAATTGAAATTGTTACTGCAGCCACTTTAATCACTACCTGCTTCTGATAACCAGGAGCTGTCAAAAATAAAATTAAAATTTGACAAACGTTTATTAAGTAAGCGCCAGGATTTTATGATAGGTGTTGGGGATAGAAAGACAAAATCAGATCCAAGGCACTGCTGGTGATATAAAAAAAAAAAGGCAAAGACACAAAAAGCTTCCCTGTCCTTAAAAAGCTTACATGTAAATGAATAGGCATGTGCAAGATAATATAGACTATAACGGAAAATAACCTTAGTGAGGAAAGCTCTAGTGCCTGGGGTGGGGAGGGAGAAGGTTGCAGCAGGGAGGTAGCAAGGCTTTAAGGTGTCATTTGAGCGGAGTCTTGAAAGGAGCCAGGGATTTCAAGAGATGGAGGTGAGGGAAGGAGAGCGTTCCAGGCATGGGACACAGCCAGTGCAGTTGACAGAGATGGGAGATGCAGTGTTGTGTGCTAGGGAGACATAGGCCACCATTGCTGGACTGCCTAGTATGTGGAGGGAGGGAAAGCATATGAAAGGACCAGGTTGGAAGAGCCTTAAATACCAAGAAGAGAAATTTATATTTCATCCTAGAAATAACAGAGATCCACAGGAGTTTATTGTTCAGGGAGCTAACATAGGCAGACTTATGTTTTAGGAAAATCACTTTAGCAGCTGTGTGGAGGGTAGATTGGAGGGAGGAGAGACAAGCCATGGATGCCACATTGAAGACTTTTATAATATGTCAGGTGAGAGGAGATGAATGCCTGAGCTGGGGGGAAGGGGGGAGGGGCAGGCTAAGTGAGTGGAGAGAAGGGATCACATACAAGAGATGTTGTGGAGATAAAAATGACAACTTTTTGTGTCTGGGGGTGAAAGAAGAGTGAGGATTTGAGGAGGATGCCAAGGTTGTGAACCTGGAAGACTGGGAGGATAATGGTTCCCTGGACAATAATAGAGAAGTTGAGAAGAAGGAAGGGTCTGGAAAGAGAATGAATTTTGTTTGGACATGTTGAGTTTGGGATATTCTAAGGGACATCCATGTTGAAATGTCCAATAAGCAGCAGGAGCTGTGGAATTGGACCTTAGAAGTGATATTAAAGCTGGATAGCTAGATCTGGGAATTTTCTGCATAGAGACAATAATCCACACATGGGAACTCTGAGATCACTGAGTTAAATTATAGAGAAAGAAAAGAGAAAAAAGCCCATGATAGAGCCTTTGAGGATACCCCACAGTTCAGCAGTGGAGACTAAGAAGGAACAGTCAGACAGGAGGAGAACAGGAGAGGGCTGTCCTGAAAACTTATTGTCTAGTAATAACTTAGATTAGACCATAAGTGCAAAGGGGATGTCCTCACAGAATGCTAAGAGAAATGTGGTCATGGTTGTTTCCATTTGTTGGAAGGGGGAAAGGTAACTGGAGGCAATGGGGAAGGCTTTCTGGAGCAGGTAGTGGCTTAGCACCAGGGTCTTAGAGGAAGGGAAGATCTTAACAGGAATCTGTGCCAGACATGGTAGACATGGCATGAGCCAAGACTTGAAGGGAAGCAGGGGAGAGGGCAAGAAGAGAACAGTTTGTCTGAAATAGCTCAGGAGAAGAGGATTAGTATAAAATAAGGTTGGAAGAGTTGGTTTCAGGCAGACTGTAGAGGGCCTGAAATTCCAGGCCTGGTTTGTACTTTGAATGTTCAAGAGGCGCTGAGGAGCCTCTGGAGGTTTTGGGGCAAGGAAGTGATGGAAGCACAATACTTTTATCAAATCCAACCCAACAAGCATTATTTATCTAGCACCTGCAATCACAAGGCACCATGCAAGAGCCATCAAAGCCAAGTGCTTGCCACTCAGTAGTTCAGATCAAATAGTAATAATAACCTAGAAATGTCTGGGGTTGGATTCAGGAGTGTGTATGGAAAAATCCACCCTATCTTTAGCCATGAAACATAGCTATCCTGTGACAACTGGCCTTCTTCCTCTTAGTACACCTTAACTAGTTTATGTGATCCAAGGGGAGATGGACATGTCCTGGAGGTGAGGCTCCTCATCGTTAAGGCTGAATGAATTTCTAAGCTCACCCTACTGGTAGACAGGCTTCTGCTGAGCCTCAGCGTTCATACGTGCAGGCCTTGTTTGGTTCTTGTGCTTCTATGGAGTCACTGCTCAAGTAAAACAGAACGTCTTCCTATTTCCAGTTACTGTCGTCAACAAGGGAATATTTATTCTATATTTAGATGACCTCTGTTGAAAGTTAGTTGAGAGGAGATAGAAATGGCTCCAACTACTTGAAAGTAAGTGTTTGTAAGCAGGGAAATCAGAACAAGTCTATAGGCAGGCAATTATGTTTTCTTGGGGCTCAGTCAGTTTGGTAGTAATAAAATACTGGATACAGAGCTGTCTTTGTGTGCGTTTGAGCACTCAGCAGGAAATTACAGAGCTGTTATTTTGCCCTAAAGTGTTCGTTTTGCATTAGATATATTAGATTTTTCCATCTTTATAATCTGTGCAAAATTCAGCCATTTCTATTAAATTTAAGTAAATCAGTAAAATAGTTTTGACTCCATAAATACTTTGTAAAGGAGGCAAGCACTGCTAATCAACTTTGAGAAGAATTTTTTTTCAAATCTACATAATATGGAGCTCTTCAAATAACAAATACATCCTTAGTCTGCATAGAATTTCCTTTTCTGAAAAAGTGAGATACAGAACTTAACTTTAATTGTGTTAGTAAGTATATTAGCACCTGCTGTCTATGTACACCAGACCTTCAACATTTTGTTTTTCTCACCTGGGGTAGTCTAGCTTGAATTAGCAGGAGAAAGCTAAAGCAGGGAAAGCTAAAGTTTTAATTTTTCCAAACTAGTCCAAAAAAAGTTCTATTTAAATTGTCCCTAGCTTTTTAACTCAACCATCTGCCAAGGCCCTAGATAAGAAAGTATGCAAACTACTTTTGTTGCCCTTCTACCTCTCTTTCTGAATCCCTCTCCTGCCTTCTGTGTTCTCTCCTCTGATCCCGAGAGTGATGAACTAAGTCATGAGTCTTGGGCGGGTCTTGGCTGTAGTATTCATGTGTACCCATGTGGCCCTGGGCTAGTCCCTTTGCCTCTCTAAGTTTCCATTTCCTATTTGTGAAATGAGAGTCGGGCAAACGTTAACTCTTTCGTAAGAGGTACTTTGAAAGAAAAACATTTTATAAATCTTAAAAATGCTTAAAAAATAGTGATGATATAGTGGAAAGAACACTGGACTTTAAAGTCACTGAACCTGGTTTTCAATCACAGCTTTATTTCTGGTCTAGG